TATTATAGATAAATAAATTAAATGCCTTTTCTAAAAAACATTTATACTGTAATTATGGGGATTTTCCTATTTGCAGGGGACATGAAATGACCACATCAGTTAGATGTTAAAAACTCAAGGTCGTCTAAATAGTCTGATTTGCTGCATTGCCCTAAATATTATGCCAAATATTCAACAAAAAAGCCTCATAGTCAAGAAAAAACTCTATTTTCTTTATTTCAGTTATGACACAGAAGATAGAACAGCAGAGGAGAGTGACAAAATTAAATCACCAACAGTATAAAAACTCTGGCATTTGTCACTTTCAGGCACTTTCATAACTCTGAAAATAACATGGTTCAACTGTTTATTTGAAAGGAAAAAATCCCTTCCTTTAGGAATTCAACTTTCTAAAAATTAAGTATGGTTTTAAATGAATCATCATTCATTTTAACTAGAATAGCTACATTATGATGAGCTGGGCCCCAAGGAGAAATAAGCAATCTCAAATCCCATCACAGAATGCTGAAGGCAGTCACACGACAAAAGACCTCTTCAAAATGGTATTTTTAATGAAATACATATAAATCAAGTTTCTCAAGTAGTTTAACAAGTTGCTAATAAATAAAATAGTTGGTAATTTCTAACCATGGGGTTATAAAGAACTTGATTCTCCTAACCTTTCTGGAAGGCACCAGGTTCCTGGCATATACATGGTGTGACTCCTTGGGGAAATAACCCAGCACAGAGACCTGACCTCTGTGAAGCGTCAAACCACTCTGTTTGTGCATGTCATGGAAGCAGCACACAATGGCAATGAAACCAACTATTAATGGCTTAAGCCACAGGTCAGGATACACAACAGGGTTTGAATGAGGAATGTCATACACAAGCCAAATATACCTTAGCACTGAAGAGAACAGACACCACATCCTTCAAAACCAACACTGACAATTAAATCTAAACAATCTCAGGGCTGTTTTTTTATATCACCAGCTTTCATCAGAGCCTTAATAGCTCTGGCCCTCATCTCGAGCTCCAGAAGCTCCAGCTGCTGCGCTGATGGCTGAACATCTTCTGACGGTGGAACGGCTAAGGTTGCTGCTTTGGGCTCCTTTGGGCTGGACTCTGCCAACCCCAGTATCTCATTCACACTTTTCTCAATGTCCTTCTGAAGGTCATCTATCTGACCGGCTCCGCTTCTGACAGTGTTTTCTTGCACATCTGGGACATCTTCTTCATTGCATGGGCCTTCTATGTCACTATCATATGCATCTGCATTTATGCTGAGGACATCACTATCTTCTCCCTTGCCTGTAACACAAATGTAACAGTCATATAGTCGCCTAACAGAACCATTTTTCTTTCAACTTACAAAATCGCTTCTGCTTAAAGTGTTTCTCTGCAGATTAAGAGAGTGGCAAAAAGATCTGTGAATTTAAGACAACTAATTCCTCTTCTTTTTCTCCTCCAACTTTTAAGGCTGATCTCATTTAGACAAGTGTTAATGCATTTTTATGCCGATTTAGAAGAACATGCAGTATAGCAAAGCAGCAGTATCGGGAAAATTTATTCCATCCTATGGAGTTACATGATCTATTTTCCTAATTAAAATGTCAGAAGGTTTTATATCACAAGGAAGCCTCTGCAGTGCAAAATCGATTATTGTTTATTATCTTTAAAGTAAACTTAGTTTTCAAAATGCAATTTTAAAAATGACACTTTATAACTATTTTTTGTATTTTAAAAGGAGTGGGACACTATAGTCAGGCACAGTACTAAAAATGAATAGAAACTCTACTTATAGTGCAACTATTCATAATCTATCACAAGTATTTCAGATGTATTTAACTCAGTAAAAACATGAGGAAAGTTATGGCATTGACTTTTAATGCTGGCTAAAAGTTGGAGTTTATTTAAAAAAAAATAATAATTAGAAGAGGCAGTGTAATAAAATGAAAGCAAAACTCTAACAGAACCTGAGTAACTGTTCTCACAATTTGGCTACAGAGAGACTAAGACTATTGCTTTTGACACATTGGCCTCAGAAATTATTAGTCCTTCACCAACCTTTGTATCTGTGGAAACTTACAGTAGGATTGGTTCCTGCTTAAAATGAACACTTTATAGTCAGATGATGGTAAAGTTACTGATTCTAAAGGCTTTAGAATTGCTTTTGGTAGTACCACTATCCAAAGGTACGGTTGTGTTCCCTGTTAATTAATAATGAGGGTTTAGAGCTAAAGATCTGTGGTTTTGAAATACATACAATTTCTTACCAAGAAGACTCAAAGAAAGTTTACATTCCTATGTAAGCTACTTTAGTCTATAATAATCCTCTATATATCAAAAATATTCTTCATTTAAGATATATTCAGACAGTATTGCAAACCTGTTTTTTTAAATTTTCTTTAATTCTCCTTTAAAAATATGGGAGAGCATGAAGACAAGGGAGCCAAACTCTTCTCAGTACTGCACGCTGACAGGACTAGTGGCAATGGGCATAAATTAAAACACATGAAATACCACCTGACCACATGTAAAAACTTTTTCTACTGTGAGGGTGGTCAAACACTGGAGCAGGTTCCCCGGACAAGCTGTGGAGTCTCCATCCTTGCATATATTCAAAACTCAACAGCACATGGTCCTGAGCAACCCACTCTAGCTGACCTGCTTGAGCAGGGGGATTTGGTTCGATGATCTCAAAACAGCCCTTCCAATCCTAACAATTCTGTGACTCTCTGATTCTTAAAATCAGCATGTTGACATCTGGCTTTAAAAGGTTCTCTTTCACCAAACTGTTAATTTTTGGGGGAATTGCTGGTTTCATCCATACATACCTTTGGCTCCTGAACCTCAAATCCGCAGGGGTAGAAGTACTGATTTGCAAGGATTGCTCATCAACAACAAAACAACCAATATACTGGAACCCAAGTAAGTACTTCCTCTGTGAATTGTTCTTTTTTAATACCAGGCAATCAGAATCTTACTGACATTCAAACTATAAAAAAAAACCCCATTGACAATGCAGACTAACACAGCAGGGACCTATGATTTTAATACCTTTAACTGATTACCTTCCTATCACTGGCTTTTTTGCCTAAGATGCTCACATTTAATATTTTACTGTTGGAAAACTTCTGGAAATATTTTTTTAATAATTCTGCTCAATAAGAATGTTCCTTTAACGTGGGTTTCAGATCCAATACAAACAATTCTCTCCCCTTTCAAAAAAGAATAAAGCACCTTTGAAACGACATTTTTAGCAGTCTTTGTTTTACACTATTAATGTTTCAGTGTCTTTTATTATACAGGAAATATTTAAAAATGCAACAAAAAATGTGAGACTTTTCTTGAAAACACAAGCGTGAAGTGTAAAAAAACTCGCCAGCCACATAGTGATTTGTATTTTCTTCTTGAGTTTTTCTGCAAACCCCTCACGCTAGGTGGAAGTTCTGTACAAAGATTAGCAGTAGAGTATGGATTAGAAAAATTAAATCATGCCTTATTCAAAATCAGTTTAATCAGTCAACCTTAAGAGAGACCACTTTTACTTTTAAAGGAAAAACAAATAAGGCTTTAGAAAAATATTTTTTAAAACACCTTTTGGTACATGACTGCATTTGGTTTTAATTCATGAGCAGTGCAGAAAAACCTTAGGAAAGACCTATTTTTCTTGGGGTTTACGACATTCCTGCTAACCTGAGGGTGTAGGAAAAAAAAAAGAAAATCAATACTGGCTAGTAAGAAAGCTATAAATGCACTTTCTCTGCATAAAAAACAAAAAAAAGGGAGGGAGGAAGGGAGGCAGGCAGGCAGGTAGGAAGGCAGAAAGACTTTTTTTCTGGTAAAAAAAATCTCAAATTGGTTTTATAAACAATAGTAACATTTTAAAACGTAACTCCAAGGATTTTATTGATTCAGGATTAAAGATTTTTTTACTATATACACTTAAAAAAAGATATTCAGATATTCACTCCTGATCATAGGCTATGACTTGTCACAGCATTTAAGTCCCAATTTAGGAATACTGCATGTTACCCTGACTGAGAAATGCACTCCTGATTTAGGATCTTACATAGTTATCAATCCAGTACCTCATAACACTGGTTTACTGGATTGCAAAAACTGGCCATCATACTGGTAAATACAGCATATACGGGAACATATACAACTAACATATGTGGCACCTCCAACATTCTAATCAAAGCTGACAAGGAAGCAAATTCAACTCTGGAAAATGTATGATAAGCCATATAGATGACGTTTTGGTCTTTTTTTTTGTAAGATAAACCACAATTTTCAAGCAATAAAAACTGAAAGCCCAAAACATAAACGATTCTGAAGCTATAAAAAATCCTGCTCACAGCAGTGTGTACAAAAAGTACTGTAAGAGACGAATATACCAGGGCCTTCTTCAATCCTAAGCAGTTTTGCCCTGTTCCTACTGTGATAGTAACTTCAAGATTAGTAATTCAGTTTCAGATGCAGTTTTACCTATTTCTCATACTATCAAATCAACTTTGAACACTATCTTTTCTACTTTACCTTGCAAGACACAAAGTATGCGAAAGATCAAAAGAAATGGGAATCAACAGGATTAAGAAATGGAAATTCTTCTGTCTTGCTGCATGGCATTAGTCAGTATTTACCTAACTTGCTGCTCAACCAAGCAGCATTTCCATGGATCAAAAAAAGGTGCACCAATGGATCATAGTTCAAAGCCTGAAAGTTAACTTCTGAGAATACTCATCCTAATTCACTGCCAAAGAGAAACTGACTTTGTACTGGGTCTGGCTGGGATGGAGTTAATTTTCTTCACAGCAACCTGCATGGTGCTGTGTTTTCGATTTGTTTCTGAAACAGTGTTGATAACACACCAGCGTTTTGTCTAGGGCTGAACAGCGCTTGCACAGCCTCAGGGCTTTCTCTGTTTCTCACTCTGACCCCAAAGGGAGTAGGCTGGGAGTGGGCAAGAGATTGGGAGGGATACACTGCCAGGACAGCTGAGCCCGACTGACCAAAGACCTGCACGGTGCTGTGTTTTGGATTTGTTTCTGAAACAGTGTTGATAACACACCAGCGTTTTGTCTAGGGCTGAACAGCGCTTGCACAGCCTCAGGGCTTTCTCTGTTTCTCACTCTGACCCCAAAGGGAGTAGGCTGGGAGTGGGCAAGAGATTGGGAGGGATACACTGCCAGGACAGCTGAGCCCGACTGACCAAAGGGATATTCTCTACCATATGACATTGTGCTCAGCAATAATGGCTCAAGGAAAGAAGGAAGAAAGAGGGATGTTCACGGTTATGGCATTTGTCTTCCCAAGTAACAGTTATGCATGCTGAGGCTCTGCTTTCCAGGAAGTGGCTAAAAATCTGGCTGCCAATGGGAAGTAGTGAATAAATCCCTTATTTTGCTTGCACAGCTTTTGCTTCACTTATTAAATTGTCTTTATCTTGACCCAGAAGTTCTTCTCGCTTTTGCTCTTCTGATCATCTTCCCCACCCCACTGGGGGAGGAGTAACTGAGCAGCTGGTGGGTGCCTACTGCTGGCTGGAGTCAACCCACCACAGGATTCTTTTTGGTATTGGTCACATATTAAGCAGAAACAAAATATTAACAGTCATTCCTGTCTGTCCTAGAATTAGTATGGACCAGGAAGCTGGGCAAAGCCTCCTTGGGTTCCATTCAGAATTTGGAGCCTCCAAAACTGCATAATACAGTGTTCATCCAAGCTCATTGGCCTATAGATGTTTAATTAGCTGATGAGACTTATTTCCCTCTTTTGCAGTTGTAATTTTACCCAGTAATAAAGATCATGGTTGGCATTTCTCATTATCTTTTTCATTTTGATAACTTTTACTTTTTCCTTCAGCTACAGTTGCAAAATTCATTTTAGCACACTTAATTCCGTTTTTCAACTTTATTTTATCCACTTTTGCTTATCCTCTCATCCTCTCTTTTTTCCCCATAGCATCACAGGCTGCAGCTAAGCAGAATGATTAGAGTTGTATTTTTAAACTTATACTGATATTCTCAAAAGCTCTTTAAAGCTAACACCTTGAGTGGAGCCACTGTTATAGCCCAAAGCCATCATGATACTCTGGTTGATTAAGTCATAAAAAACAACAATGAAGCAATCACCTGCAGCAGTCATCAATTCCCTTTGATAATACAAAAGTGGAAGAGATCTGCAGGAAATCTGTCAGTTCTAAGGTCATTCCACAGAGTACAACAAGCAACATTTAAAGCATTCTTCACAAAGCCACAGCAACCTGCTCCTAAAAGTTTTGATGCTTTTATTATGACTCTATACTTCTCAATTTAATTCCCCTCACTAATTACTTCAGAAAAAAACATGCTTCACAAAGTTATTCCAAGAGACATCTTTTAGACAACATTCCGAATTGTGAAATAGGAGTTGCAGGAAGCAAATAATGTTAGATCTTCACAGAAGAGAAATTTAGCTTATAAGAATTCGCAACATTCTTTGATTGGAAAAGCTACTTCTGATGTTACTGCATACAGCTAGTCCAAATGAAAACAAATAGACTGAGACAGAAACACCTACAATTCTAGTGCTTCATATACATAACAATACTCACAGTTGTTATATGGTGCTGATTTAATGATTGGAATAAAACAAATACTGCTGCAGGTTAAGAAAACTGTTTCCTTACGCAGCAGGCACTCAAATGTGTACCACTAACTTACCTGCTTTTGCATTTTCTATTCTGCCAATCACTGGAGTACCCCAGTGTCTCACCCACTACATTTTTGCATTTAAAAAGAGAGAATATACACGACAAAATGTTTGTCCTCAGAGGTTCAAAGATTTGAGCGTGTACTACCACTGGCACTGGCTTCAAGTAAAATACGCCAGTTATCAGGAGTGGTGGGTGTTTAGCACCATTCCATTGGACCTCAGCTCTGCACAATCAAACAAAGCAAGGTATGATATATCAAGACTGAACAAAATGATTAAATTACAAGCAGTCCTTTGGCAAACAATTACTGTAATGGATTTCTATGAATGTCAAAACAGAGTACTGTAGACTCTTATGATCATCTCAACAGAAAGTAAAACTGACTTTGGAAGAATTCAGCAAATGGTAATAGCAGTATTAGCAATCACCTATATACCAAGAAATTGAAATGACTGAAGCTCCTCTTCAGCTGAAAAACTAGATATGAAGAGCCAAATGAGCCTTGCAAGAGCTTCAGTCATGTTCCAGAAGCTAAACTAGCAAACTTTGAAGAGCTGCAATTTGTTTCTAGCCACAAAAAACTCTCCAATCTCACAGAATTAAGAAGCCAAAGTTCCTACAATGTCTTCTTCAATTTTACTCTCTCCTTTTCTGGAATTGGGCCCAAGGGGGAGGTTGTAACCCTACACCAGCTGATTTCTAAGAGGATGATTCTCTGTGATTGCAGCTACTGTTCAAAAGAGAGCTGTCAGTTAACTGGGATTAGTCACTGCCCAACATCAAGAAAACAAAACTTCAGCTTTCTCCACTACATACCTTGTTTTGATTCCTGACCTTCCAGCTTGTTGTCTTCTCTCAGAGAGGAAGTAGAGTCTATACTGTTGTCCTGTCTGGAAACAAATAAGAAGACATTTTAATCTACATCAATCTACATCTTTTACAATTTAAGAGAACTTTTCTAAGAAACGTTTACTTTGACTAAAGAAATTATGTGGTGGTAGGCCAATAGGCCAGCTACAGGATGAATAAAGGCAAAAGGAACACACAGAGTGCTAATCTAAGCACTTGAGAATGAGGAGTTTTTTGCTTTGCCTAGAGATACACAAGGATAAAGCAAATATTTCCACTACACCCTAGCCTTTCAGAATAACAATCCTCACTGGTAGCCTCTCCCTAATCTTAGGAGCTTTTCTCTAAAACTCAGAATAAATTGTCATACAGTTAAATGATTTGAAAAAACTATAGTTTCAGTTGCATTCAAATACTATTTACTGTTTTCATTTGAAATTAAGAAGCTATTTTCATGAAGTTACCATCACCCCACCACCATCCACCTCTCCTACGTCACAATCTCATAGTTCCACAAAGGGCCACTTTTTAAAACAAAATGCAACTCAACTGTTAAATTGCATTCAGTATCTGCATTTCTCTATTTCTTCTATTTAAAGATTTCTCTACTCTTGACCTGTAAGGTTTAAAGTGATTTATACAAGGGATAAGGAAGAGATATTTTTGTGGAATGTTCATGTCCTTCAGACATTTCGCACATACCGGTTATACAAACTCTGAAAATACTGTGAAATATACAGGGAGAAGGAAGGCAGAAGGACCCAGAATCACAGAAAGAGTTCAACTGCCATGTTTAGTGAGCATTTTGACAGTAGAATTGCCAATTTCCTACCCTGAATGTTGGTGCGGCATTGGTTTCATACATATTAATATGGAATCAATGCAACTATCCTGCCTGTGGGAGCTAAACAGCACTATAAAAAGGATAGCAGTATTCTGGTATCACAGGTGTAAATATAATGACTTTAACAACTTGTTTTTCAGTAATGGCCTGAAGGCTTTTCCTAAAATTGAATACAGATCTATTTTACCCATGCTTTCAAAGATACATTTTTTTCCAGGTGTCCAATGGCTATGTCAGGAGGGGGAACACTGTAATACTTCTCGCCATCTTGGTCTGAGAGACAGAGTTATTTTGATCACCATTTCCTTTTCTGTAGTAGCAAAGGTTACAAATCAATATTTTTCTGTTTCTCCCACTTTTTGTACCCATTGCAACATAAATGTGTATGGTAGCATGCAATAATTGATTAAGGAGAATATGTAGCTGTTTTCATATGCACACAGCACCTAAAAAAAAGATTTTTAAATGTTCTGCACCTTGAGTAAGGAAACCCTAAGAGAAACGTACTGTCCCATGCCATTGTAATAAACTAGAAGTAGACTATTTACTATGATGCATATTTCTCAGAACTCAGTGGTATGTATGCTTTCAGTTTGCTTTCCTACTTGGTCAACTCAAGAAGCATTCTCCCAACCTTTTAATTTCTGTTGGGACTTTCCATTCCCAGGCAGGGCTGAAAGAGAAGGAATGGATACAAACTAGCTGTTGAAATAGCTATGCTGAGTAGGAAGTTCTGTGTACATGGCTAACCCCTTCAGAAAATTATTTAAACTTTGCCTCTTCACAAACAAAGAGAGTTTGCTTGTTTATTTTCCATTCCAGTCATCAGTCTTGTACTACAAAGGCTGGAGGTGTTGCAAGATGGATTACAGCCCTCACCTGTTAGATATAAAATATGCCCAGGAATTCAACAAATAAAATCAGGTCTGCTGCATGTGATGGTTTGGACACGTTAACTAGAGTTTCAATCTTCCTGCTGTCATGGGGGAAAAGGAACACCGGACAACATGACATTACCATGTTCAATTTCTTCAGTGGATGGAGCAGAGGATAGGCTGTGAGGAAAAGTTTTGCACTCATACACACACCCATAAGGTCAGAGTTAACTGAGACCTACCCGAATTACCGCTCCAGTGAGCCTGCACAACCTAGCCCAGGGGAAACACCTTCTCAGCACTCTCAGTGCCAGGCTCCAGCTTAGGACCAAAGCCAAAACCGGTCCTCTGCTTTGAGACAGTGCCAGACTCTTGGGTAGCAACACTTCCCCATCCACCTCCATTACTGGGCAGGGTTAGGCCAGATGCCAGCACAGACCACCAGCTAAATCTGTCCATGATGCTGTCACAGCACACCTTCCAAGAAATTTCAGGTTTTGCTCTCCTGTCACTTGCCAAAGCTTATCACACGCAGTTTTCCGTTGTATTGTCCCGTCCATTAGGTTATGTGTTTAATGGTGAGTAACCATAAGCACAAAGGCCCAGTGAGGAGCAGAGGAAAACTGCAAGCAGAGGAACCCCAGTAACTTCATCAGTGCAGCGGAATGACCCTGCCTGAGTTATTCCTAGGGTTGTGAAAGGAGAGCAACCAGCCCATTTTCTGGAAATGAAACCTAGTAAGAGCAGTCAGCCAGAGAAATCACCTTATAGGCTGAAGGGTGTTACTCTCTACAGGAGCAAGGGGGTCTGTACAGGATGCTGGGGAAGAGCATTTCAGCATTGCATAAAACTGGCAGATATTTTTAAGGGGAGTGTAGGAATGTGTAAGGCAGCATGGCATGTTCAGAGGAAGAACCAAAGGTGGGAAAAGGGAGAGACCAAGGCAGACTGAGAAAAAACAAGCATGGGGAAAAAAGAGAAAAAAAGAAGATGAAGGGCCAGCAGAGCATAAACAGGTTGCTGGTCAGTATACTTGTCTGGCCAAGCCCTGGACCTGATCACCACAGTCTGTCCCACCTTCCTATTGAACTCTATTGCTATACTAACTATTTTTCCAAATGAGAGGACACTATTCTCTGTATATATGCACATGTGTGTGTGTGTCTCTAACTGCCAGCAACTGCAAAGGGGACCATAGGTCATAGGGGCCTGCAGGACTGTGCTGCCAGAAACTAGACAAGAGTGAAAAATGTGCATGCTTCCTCGGAGAACTTCAATGTCATGGCATCAATGTGTATGCAGATGCTTGTAATTCACTAGCAACCCTCAGGCTGGTCTAGACAGCAAGTAGGATGAGAGGTCTGGGAGTCAGGTACCAGACAGACTGTAAGATCAGAGGCCAAACTCCTGAAAGAGAGCAGGGTCTGTAAGTAGGCAAATTGAGGGGCCATAGCTCCACTAGATACCCAAGAGATCAACAGTTTGAATGTCAGCTACTGGGGATGATCACAAGTCTGCACCAGCTATGGGAGACACCTGTGTGCACAAGGAGGTCTGAGCAGCAGCTGGAGTGGGGATGCAAACCTTGCGGGCTTGTATGTCCAAGTGCCAGCAACTGGGGAGAGCAGTGGATCTGGCACCAGCTACTGATCAACAGATCTGGAAGGAGTCACTTTTTTTTTTTTTTTTTTAAGGAACTCCTAATGATTTGTTATACTTAAGTCACTCAACTCTTGACCAAAATAACGTCATGATACACCCGGCTCATCATTAAGAGCAAAAGCTGCTTAGGCTGCCCCTACCCTATTCTCCCTCACACACTTCTTCATTTTGAACTGAGAAGTCATCTCTGCACTGGACAGCAATGTGTCACCCGGGAAAGTCTGATCTTGCACTAATAGCATCCAGGCAAGAAAATTCACCTCTCTGGTATCACCCTGAGCTCCAACACCAAATTTCACTGAGGAATTACAATCAGCCCTTTGACAGAAAACTCAGAGCAACCTCTATGTTTCAAACACTGGCTGTGAAATTACCTACACCCATTTTAACAGCTACTTAAAAAGAAATTATCAATTGAAAAATCATACATCAAAACTTGTTGTAAAGTTTCCTCCTGTTGCCTTGACACTATCACTGATTACAGCAAAACCAAGTTGCTTTAAAGACTACCTACTGTCAGCAAAAGAATTTTTAGAACCCCGAAGTACTTTTACAGCACGTTTTACTCTTTCAGAATTTATTGGATTGGACTGTATTGCTGGTGAACATTCACCACTTCATTTAACAGGCGGGCATTTTGCACCATCTTGTGGCCAAGCAGAAGCATTTCAGGTCACAGTTCAGTTTTGCTCTCAACTTGTTAACCTTGTTTAATTTGTTTGTTAGTAAGAAATATTTTTTTTCCTAATTATCTACACTGCGGTTTAGACTTAAGAAAGGGAGACACAACATCATGTCTCCACACAATGGGAGCAGAAGACATGCTAATCTAAAATTAAGGCACACTATACAAATTTAATACCCTCTTCTTTCATGCCATGCCAGTAAATGACCACAATAATTTGGAGCTCCCTCCTTTTATCAGTCTTCAAAGACACTTCTCCCTCAGGATGCCAGTTAAGTTCAAAGTCACTCTTCCAAAAGATAAACTCAGCATTTTTTTTTTTTTTTAATAGAACAGCATTAGCACAGTATGTTCTTTTCAGCAGAAAGAAGCTAACTATTACAGTTTGTTGGTGACAAATGCTGTAAATTTAAATTTGTCCTATGCTAGCTTTTCATGTTGACATGCTCCACGCTAGTTAAATGCTAACCTGGGCTCATGCACATGGATTCTGTACAGAACCTATTACTTTCAGGAATCTGCATAGCTGTCAAAGAAATCTGGGTTTGAGGGTGATTTGGTACCACTACTCCAGCAGATTATGCAGAGTGAGGTAAGACAGCAGCACAAGTTAGGAAAAAGGGTACTGGCCAGAGGAGTGGACAGCTAAGGACTAAGACAACAGCACTGCAATACTGGTGGCTGGGATTCCAAGCATCAGCAGTAACTGGGGTTGGAGATCAACAGGAAAAGTTTTGTGACAGAAAAAAATATCTTAATGTGCTGGACTTTTTAATAGCAGCATTAGCACAGTATGTTCTTTTCAGCAGAAAGAAGCTAACTATTACAGTTTGTTGGTGACAAATGCTGTAAATTTAAATTTGTCCTATGCTAGCTTTTCATGTTGACATGCTCCACGCTAGTTAAATGCTAACCTGGGCTCATGCACATGGATTCTGTACAGAACCTATTACTTTCAGGAATCTGCATAGCTGTCAAAGAAATCTGGGTTTGAGGGTGATTTGGTACCACTACTCCAGCAGATTATGCAGAGTGAGGTAAGACAGCAGCACAAGTTAGGAAAAAGGGTACTGGCCAGAGGAGTGGACAGCTAAGGACTAAGACAACAGCACTGCAATACTGGTGGCTGGGATTCCAAGCATCAGCAGTAACTGGGGTTGGAGATCAACAGGAAAAGTTTTGTGACAGAAAAAAATATCTTAATGTGCTGGACTAGAAGACAGTCTGATAACATGAGATACAGTCATGCTGATACTTTCCTTACAGGGCTTTTAATTTTTGTTAAGAAACTTTCACCTAAATCTCTGGAGTCAGGCTTGAGATCAGTACGTCTGGTACTCTGACATAAAGACAATGTACCTTCCTTAATTTAAAATTTGCCTTCGCAGTTCCAAGTCTAAAAAATATTCCTAGAAGTCCCAAGTCCTTGTAAGCTTCCTCCAAATTTTTGTTCCAAGGGTAGATTTCCATGACAAATGAGAACTAAAATAATTAACAGCAAGCAATTAAAAAAAAAAAAGAAAAAAGAAAAATCCTTATGAAGTAGTGCTCCTCAAGAAAGGTATCCCAAATGACAGATGCTAATCAAATTGTTTAATGCGCTATGAAATGTCCACCAGTCCGATCACAGGTGAAATTTGAGGACACCATGGGAACAGAAGACAGTGAACAGATGCCAAGTGCTAATATATCTGTTCAGTGACTCATGTAGCCTATTCTTTCAGTGATTCCAAATGGTGAAGATAACCAAATTGACCTAGAGGGGTAAATATCAGACAGCAATTGCATGCTTCTGAACAGCCCAGTACCCAGGAGCAAAACATGTTAAAAAAAGGAAAGCCTCTAAACTGCTAACCTTTCTAAAACAAAACAAGCAAAACCTGAGCTCATGACTCCAAGGCAGTAAAAAGCCTACAAATTCTTGAAAGCGCAAATATTAAATTGCAGATTTTCACACAGTGAAAAAAAAATAAGCACATTATATTTTCAAAGCAAAAGATCATTTACTCACGTTATACACATGAACATAGGATCACTATAGTGATATTAGCATGCTTGTTCTTTTAATACATGTTTTATTACAACAGCAAATAATTTGCTTTCGGTCCTTCCGTTGGAAGGTATTTAAAAAGCCAATTCAGGAAACAGCTCAAGAACATGCTAATACCTTTTGAATGAGTTAGGAAGAATGCCTACTTGGTTTTGCAGGACAGTAATTGGCTAATTCCTTCCAATTAAATATCTGTCATTTAACTGGAAGCTTAGTAAACAGCAGTTCTCTTGGTTTAACAGTACTCCATTGCAGACAGTAACACAGAAACAATAAAAATCTGAGAACTGCATAGTCAAAAATCTACACCGAGCCCACAAGTAATGAAGCGTATCTATCGTAACAGCAATTTCCAGTTATTGGCAAACGTAGGCCCTGCTTCTTCAGTTCTTCTGCACGCTTGTTCCAGGATTCCTAGTGTTTAACTCAGAAGAAGCTGGTGACAAAACATCAGAGCAAATGTTTTACATGCTAATGGAAGCATCTGAAGCTTTTACAGAGCTGAAATTTAGGAAAAGCCTCAGGACTTCCAGTTCTGGTGGCAGAACGAGGATATGTGCATCAGAAAAAGGAAGGTTCAATTTACAATTATCTGGGGAAATTTCTCTAAATCCCTGCTACTTTTAGAAGGTACAGACAGGAAGCAGGTCTTCAGAGACAGATAAGTATTTGTATATTTGGGGAAAAAAAAAGACACAGTACAAACTATACTCTTCTAAGAAAGCCTGTGTATTTTGATACACTTTTAATTTCTTCAGATATATTGATTTAAGCCTTCTGGATTTCTATTGATATATGGATATTGCTGAAGGTATAAGTTTGTCGAACTTTTTTTTTTTAAAAGAACAAAGATGAAAGAAACAAACTGATGCTTCAAATCAGTTAACAGATTTTTGACTAGAGTAAGACTTGCTATTCACATTTTCCCTTACCACATTTAAATGTCCATGCAAGCAACTAAGACAAGTCAGACTTAAAATAAAAAAGCTTTAATGTTGCATCATTAATAGAATGCAGAAAAAAGTAGTCAATTACAAGAAAACCACAAGTAACGAAGACAAACTATGAAGAACCAACAGTGAGAATATAAACAAAAAAAATGTCTTTTTCGTTCTGAAAAGTCTTTTCTCTTCCCAGGGCAAAAAAATTCACCCATTTAAACACAGATGATAATTAAAAACACATTAATGATTACAAACAACCAAAGTTTAGCTCAGGAATGCAGTTTTCGCTATTTCTTCACTTGCATCTTTAGCCTCCCTGCCTACTGACTGACTTGTTGCTGTTCTGGCTGAAACAGTTTTCTGAAGTTTTGCAAACTTGCATTTATATTTAATTACACACAGGTTGAAAAAAGTTAACCTAAACGTCCAAAGATTAAACCTATTTAGTAGAAAGGGCTTGTGACATTTTACAGTTGTAAAAGCATAATACTGTTCTACTTACTAAGCACTGGGCTTAATGATTAATATAAAACCTTAATTTTACTTGTTTCATCTATTTCTTCCTATCCCTTTATTTCTCTATCATCCAAACAGCTTTCCCTTTTTGTTTTTTGTTAAAGCTAGCACACAGCTGAACCTATGAGCCAAGGTTCTCACCCTTGTGTGTAGCATACTATTTTTTAACTCACTGCATTAAAAGGAGAAGAAAAGCCACAATTCCTACACCAACATTATCTTGCCTGGCCAGTTTGGAATGGTCTGAAATATTAAACTATCAGGACAGAGATAGAGATACAAAAAACAGGGGCACCTCAACCATTATGTTTGTCAAAGGAAGCAACCTGCTCTATAACTTTGATCAACATATCTTAGTTTTTTACTTTTTTTTTTTTTAAACACAATTTCTTCTTGGTGTTGCTGTCAGTTACTGCTCATATCTTTCTCATCAGCGACGTAAGGTGACCTAGCTTTGTCAGTTTTTGGTAACTGCAGCAACGGTAAAGAACTTGGTCAGTTTTAATTCTGCTGTACTTCAACACAGCTATGAGAAAAGGCAGACAACACCAACTCACTTTGGTTTACTCACTGCTTATGCCTGGGATATTATCTGTACAGTGCAAAAACAGCAGACTTCCAAACTGCAATTTAGATCCTATAGATGTTGTTTTCCTGAAACTTTCCTACTTGCCATGGGCAAATGGGTTGTTAAGTGTCTTCAGATACCCGCTAGTTAAGAAATGGTGAATCCTGCTTCCTTTCCTTATTTTGTTGTTTTATTCATTAATTGACAATAACAATTTCCCCTTTTTAGGTTTTTACCAGCTCAAATCATTACTTTATTTGCATATAAGCAAGACTTTACTCAATCTACTGTAGCTGAGGGCCATAAATACACGTCTCAACAGTAGCTTTGAAACACCTTGCAGCCATGGAACTACCTTCTTGAAATCTAGCAGCACTAATCCTGCCATACCTCTTTAAGATGAAGACCATTTCATGTATTTTGCAATAGTAGAGAGCTTGTAAATTAGGCCTTAAAAATGTCGTATCATTTCTCCAGGCATCAAAATCCTGGGGCATTTTTCATGGTTTCCTTACCGAATAAGTCTGTCTTCTCATTCTATTTAGAAGTTCACCGGCAAAACATCTATCACTTAACAGAGACTCCTTTACATAAAGAGACCTGCTATTTAGTGTATTTTGTAGTTTTGGGGTTTTTTATTTTGCTTTTTTAAATAGCCAGCAGAGGGCAATGTCCAAAATAAGAAAATCAGTCCACATAAATGGGTGTACTGACACCATTCACAGATCATGTAGGCAACAAATAGCAAAGGGGGGGATACAGTCACAAATCAACTCCAAATGGAACCCTAGAAGAAAGTGTCAGAGGGCATTAAAACCGTATCACACGAGAAAAAGTGAAACATCACTTAACTCAGTATCACTCCATTTTCTAGGATATTTGTATGATGTACGATGAGATGCGATCAAAGAAAATTACTTCATTCAATAACTTCGTAAGTTGTTCTGAATTAAAGACAGGATCAGAAACCAGGTCTCTGTTAAATCAAAAATACCAACCAGAATGTGAAATTTGGATTACTAACACTAGCTTTTCCATCCATTTGTTCCTATTTAGTAAGTCTAGATGAACTAACCAAACCAGCAAAACTAAGAGGTACTTCAATCTGCCCAACACTGGTGTATTGTCTTGTATTGTCTCAAAGGTTTATTAAGTTTGATCATTTCTCATGAAAAATCCCTGTATTGTTCAGTATTCTTAAATTAAGTGTTTTGTCTTTTACTCACTGACTGACTGATTCACCTCCAGTCTTGTCTCCTCCATCTGCCTCCTCGTCAGTATCAGAATCAGCTCCAATCTTGCCTAGATATACACAGTTTCAAACATGAAAATTTAGGCAGGTAATATAGTTAATGCTATATAGTTAGGCTTACTCTTAATGATTAACTCTATTGCAATCATCAGCAGAAGAGGTTTTTTTCCCCAGTTAGAGCAGATGTTCTAAAATTAGACTTACTCAAAACTAAAAACTTTATTTCAGTTACACTGTATTACGAAAAAAAACAGAATAGCTATTGCTAGTACAACACTATAGGCACTAAAAATAAAGCACAGGAGACAAAATTAATAGAAGGTACTCCACAGCATTCAAGATTTGAAGAGTTCCACTTAATTGAGAAGACAGCAATATGTTTACAAATAAATTCTACCGCCCTTAAATATCAAGTGGAAGTTCAATAAGATACTGAAAAGCTGGAATGTCATATCCTTAATCAAAGTACATGAACTGTGTCTCAGCAGAGCAGCGGGATCCACCAAGAATCCTTTAACTACACCAAATACTCTAGGGCAATTGCTAATACAATTCAACTGGTATTGCAGTATGTCAGATTTCCCCTGCAGAGAACGAGGGGCAACTTAATGTCAGTTTACCTAAAATAACAGATTTCAAACAATACTTCTACACTCCTAGCTTTGTTTTTTCCACCTCCTAGCTTTGTTTTTTCCACCAAGTCAAAAGCTTTGTTCTTAGTTTGGGTACTAAGGAAAAGAAGCTTATATTACTGTTTTCTGCAGGTATCCCTAATAGCTTTTAAATCAATGGACGATTTCATCCAAGCTTAAAAGATGAAAGCCAGCATATATATATACACACATACTATATATATACACTATTAGAATGTGTATATATGTAATACCAATATATATACACATATATACACACACACTAATACACACTTATTTTTGTGTGTGTGTATATTAGAAGCTAGAAACGGAGTGAAAATCCAGTTTCCAAGCAGACTATTCTCTGGTGTACAATGGTGCCTAAAAGTTTCATTCATACCTTCAAGTATCTTCAACAGTTTTTTTTCAGATAACAGCTCCAACTGCTCCAAGCAAAGCCTTTTGATTTCGTCCATGGAACAGTTCTAAGAAGACAGATAAGACAGACCACGAGCTACTAAAAATTTCTGAGGACAGAGTAATTATGAATGGTAACTACTACTCCAACTGTACTGAATGAAGAGCTAACTCAGATTGCAAGCCCTTCTCTGTTCTGACCTGCATTGATGCAACTATTGAAGAACACCAGGTAGGTGTTTCAGTTTTGACAGCTACCAGAAATAATGCGTGTGTGGTTTTTTTTCTGAAAAATTAAGCAATACACACTATCAGTTACTTGACCTATGGCTTGGAGTTTTCACTGCAGCTGCAACACTGAGCAGTAGAAATACCGGGCCATATGTGTGAAGCATCGAACAGCAAACAACTGTAGCCCTGATGACTCCTAACTCTCCATCACTCAGGAGCAGCTGGATTACATAATTAAGCCTGCAAAGACCAGAGCCAACTGTTGAATCCAAGCTCACGGACTGAAACAAACACTGCTATTGCCAACACAGCAACAGCTGTATACCATAATAAAGAAAACATAAGAAAGATGTAAATTGTGATCCATTTCTCATGCTTGATACTACCACACGCTGCCACAGATTTTATGGGTATTCCAGTTCCCTTCACATCTTTCATACTACTTGGTGTCCTCTTGGTGAAACAGTGATAATTTCACGCTTTCAAATGAACTATGATACCATGTATAAGTACCAAATTAGAAAGTGCTGAGCATATTGTAACATTCATGACCCTACTGTAGGTTTGGTTCTACACCACCAGGCAACTTCGTTTCAAAGTCAGTAATGCCTTTGCCTCCAGCTGCACCAGACCTCTTCTCCCAGAGATGAGGAACGGATGAGACTGTATGCAATTCACCAAGTGCTTAAAATGAAGAAGTCCTGCCTCACTTACATTAATAATGACTCATAAAGATAAAAATTAAAAGACAAATTTTAAAATTATTAACAAACATCACACAAATGGCACTTTACCTGCAGCCTCTTCTTCTGTACGGGCTGCTAGCCTAATTTATTACTGCCAAGTCCTGCAGTCCACAAGACTCAAAAAACATATGCTCTAAGCCAGTAAAACTCTAGCAATACTACCACTAAAGTCCACAGAAGTTACAGCTTCAGAAGCTGTTTATCAAAAAAGGATTTTATTGCCTTATCTCAGACATTAATTTAATACCATACAAAGAAATTCAGCTGACACAAACAGAAATCAAACTTTTATTAACAAATCAGTATATTTATTAGTGAACAACACTACTGACTTTACTCCATGCAATCATGAAACTCCTTTTGCATTTAATTAACCAGTACAGACAAACGGTATAAAAACGAGCAGCCTGCAGTTCAGCAATGGCTGAGCAACGGAAAAAGGAGTAAGCAGGAATAACTATATCAAATCTTTAAAAAGTCTCACTTTCAGAGACTTGATATAATCTTTATTTAAGAAATACACAGGCAGCTTTTAAGCTGGAAGTCCACTAGACTTGAGAGATAGACGTGCTTTGTTACACAAGCATTCAAGCTTGTAAAAAGTATATGAAGGTAAGTGTATTTCAGTACCTTTAAAATATCAGGCAGCATCTTCTGTAGTTTTTTCTCCCCTATGACACAGAAACACTGTTGAAGCATTTCTTTTTTGTCCGCAATGTAGAAACTGACTGGTTTGAGTGACACGCTGAGATCTAATCCTCCTTCTTCTATATCACTGGGTTGTTCAGCTTCTTCCACTTTTTCTCCAGATGGTACATTGCACTTTTCTTCCTAAAATCAAGGACAGCAAGTACAATTTTCACATTTTCTAGTGAACAAGAGAAGAAGGAAACTTACAGCTCCATTTGCGCTTGCAATAGTTTTCCCTTCATAATTGCAAGGTACATCTTAAGGTGGACTTCCGAGCTTCCAAATAGTGTTTCAGTTTGCAGGGTAACCATTAAAGAAGCGACATTTTTGGTTACTGAAACCATCCTTACGCTAGGGGAAATTTTAAAAGCTTCAAGAGGCAAAAAGTACTTTTAAATATTAACTGGCAAATATCATCTGCAAATACCTAGCTGCTGCTTATACATGAAAGCATGCTTTAAAGCAGAAGAAATCAATCTCTCTGATTTGCTGTGCAATTAAACCACTAATCTCGAAATTTACAGCTACCCTGCTAAGAAGGAAATTGGCATACAATGCCCTGCGTGGCACAGTCTTCTGAGAATAAAAGTGGGCTTCACATCGGAAAACGTATCTTCCATACATCAGCGGAAGACCTCTACAGTTAAAAAAAACCAGCTAGAAATACATTTTGAGAGCCCCGCGATTCACTCAGGAGCGTGTGTCAGGCGAATTTTCGTGCTGGCGCACCAACAGCTCCTAGGACAGACTCGCAGTCCCGCAGGCACGAGCAACACGGCGTGGGTCACCGCTGAGCAGCCCCTACACCCGGGAAAACACGGGCCGGCCTCCCCCGGGCGTGCAGCGGGAGCACCGCGGCGCTGCCGTGGGTGCCTCTGC